TTCAGCGTTGCAGACCCGGTAACTGTGGAGAAGGGGAAAATACAAAAAAGCGCATGAGGCTATGGGAGAAGGTAGTTTTCAGGAAGGTTATAAAAGAAAGAAGAGATAGACAGCTGGAGGAAAGCTGTAGCCGGGCAAAAATTGGTTTTGGGGTGTTGGTTTTTTATGAGCAGCCAAGATTGATAATGAAAGTAATTAGTAAGTAGCAGGAAGGGACAGGAAATTAATGCACTATTGCTATGTTGTTCGAGTTGTTGCACTCGCTACCTGTTGACCCTGTTGGTAAGACTGCAGACTAACAAATGTATTTGCGACTGGGCGTCTCTTGTAGGGTAGAGTTCAGAAATCATGAAGGTTAGCTACTGTAGTCCTCCTGCTTGTAAAAAATCCCTGAAACAGTAAGAATGAGAATCATAGAATTGTCAGGGTTGGAAGGGACTTTAAAGATCATCTAGTTCCAACCCCCCTGCTATGGGCAGGGACATCCCCCATCCAGCATGGCCTTAAAAACTGCCAGGGATCAATTATATTTGATTAATTTGGGGTTTCTCCTCCCTACATGTCCAGGTTAACTCACAGATTTAGGTCTATTTTAGGGTAAGGCAAAAGTGTTGTTTTTTACAAGCAGCCAGATGAGCAACTAGAGAGAATTTTAAATTCCAAGGATTTGGTCTTGCCCAAAGGAATCAAAATTTTGAGTGTCTATGAATTACCATGGTACAAATAACCATGAATTACCATGATACAAATAACAAATCCTGCCTGAAAACAGGAGATGGCCTCTGGCCTGCTGAAGCTGCAGTCACTGCTAAATTTGCGTGGCACACAAGGCACACACGTGTCTCCCCCAACTCGTTTGCTCTGTAAAAGAATGCTGATGGCTTTGCTACAAACGAGTTTCTTTCCATCTTGTGTGGTTGGGTTGGGTCAAAATGAGAAAATGCATGGGAGGATGAATAGGACTATGTTTAGAAACTTATATTTGGTGCATACAAATTATCAGAGGTGTTAACTGTTTTGTAGTCTGAACTCCAAAGGTGTTCCAAGCTCATGGAGAGGCCTGAGAGGCTTTGTTTATACTGGCCAGAGAATTCATGACTCATGAATTGGGTTAGACACTTCTCCTCAAATTCTCCTTAAATATGAATCTGATTAAATCCATTTCTGTAACAATTTATCCAGCTTGTGTGGAAGGTCATCTTTTGTCTGATATGGTTGTAGTCTGGTAGAAATCTGAGACCAGAGCTGGAACGAAGAATGAGGAGCAAGAAAAGCAGATCCTTAAAAACAACGCAGCATGATTCCTTTCTCCATAATATTAAAAAGAGCTCAAACTGCTAAAACAGAGTGAATAACCAAGTGTGATAACACTGCAGTCTGATAAAGAACTCGACTTGATAGCTCAAATACATGTATACATTATATGGAAATTAAAATGAAAAGTATAGCTGATAAACAGGAAGGAATTAACATTATGAAAGTCTATTAGGAAACTTGTAGGTGCCAAAATGTTGATGCCTTTACTAACACGTGAATCACAGAAAATACAGGTTAAAACAGTTGTGCTCTGCGTGTGCAAGTCTCAGACTTCCTGTGATGGCAGGGCCCCTGAAAGACCCTTCTGCACAAAAGAAAGGTGATCTAAATGCTTTTGTATTAAATGTGTTCCTCAAAGCAGAGGGAGCAGCTGACGGAATTAGCATATTAAAATATTTTTGAGAGGTTAGACCTTGCAGGATGTTCTGGGTACGTGAGAGCTCTTCAGAGAGAACGTTCCAAACTCTGCTGCTCTCTTGCTAGTTTCTCCCACCTAATGCATGAGGGTGGAATATTCCTGCTATGCTTGTAAATCTTTTGAGGGGAATGGTGGAATTTCTGGTGTTTGAAGTATCTTTATTTCTACTACTTACCTGGGACATTGGGAAAGGATCAGCTTAAATATCCTAGGCTATGATTTGTAAAGGTACCTAAGAAATTGAGAAAAAATCAACTTGGAGCATTTTGTTTCCTGTAGCTCAGGAAAGGCTCACTGACCTTTTATGCATACAAAAATACCTCCTTTAGCAAACTGCCTGGCTAAGAAATGGATTTAGTTGGTTCTTTCAGTACCTTAGAAAGTTTCCTGAAACAAATATTAAGTCTTGAATCAATAAGGCTCATAAGTCTAATAAGCTTCTACCATTGGTGTCTGATTGCTGAAGTGCAAGGGTTCCTAAAAGAAAATAAAAGCTCAGCCTGAAAAACCTTTGTATTTAAACAGTCTATTAAACATAAGTATGAAAAGGTTCAATGGAAATGCTAGTATTTTGGAAATGCTAGTATGTACAAGCAGTTTGCAAGTTTAGCAATTCTAGCAATAGCTAATTTCTATTATCAACCACTGCATTTAGAAGGCTGGTATTTTAACAAATGAGTCAGTTCGTTTTCTTAGCTAGGTTGCTCTCTTTATCCTGTTGAAAATTTTACAGTTTCATTCCATGCAGGATGCTTGTGTTCATTTACAGACACGAAGAAAACACAAGCCTTTAGTTTTCCGAATTTGCCCTGAATAATTGTCTCTGCTGTCAGTTTGAGCTGTTCCTTCTCTGCTGATTTATTTTCCAGCCCACTGTAGTACTTTGGCATCCTCTTTTGTGCTACATTTATACTTCTCACATATCTTGAAGTATATCTGACTAGTCAGAGGACACATTAAAAAAATATTGAAAAATGAAATAGTTAATGTAATTTTTCTGCTACTTACAGAAGGACATGCACTGTTCAATCTCCATATGTTCAGTAGTCCTCCTTTTGCACTTAATATATTGATACTCTCCTCACAACACAAAGTTTATTTTCATTTCCTTCCTCTGATACGTGGTATCAACAAAGTGGCTGGATGTTTCTGAGGGAAAGGTTGTATCCAGCTACTTTAGATTATATATATATATATATCATGTAGAAAGCTGTTTGCTCTATAGGAAACAGGTGGTGTGAAAATAATATATTTCTAATTTTTAGAAATGAGTTGCACAATTGAAAAGGCCTTAGCAGATGCAAAAGCACTGGTGGAACGGCTAAGGGAACATGACAACGCAGCAGAAGCTCTTATTGAACAGACTACAGCTCTTAACAAGCGGGTTGAAGCAATGAAACAGGTTTGTTTTCCAACTTTGTTTATTAAAAAAACAACTTGGAAACGCATAATTTAAAATCATTTGCTACTATATAATATGTAATCAGTATGTTATTTGGTTAATCCTTTAATGCCATACTAAGTGTTTTCATTATAGGTGGGACTATGATCCAAAAATAGGTTGTTTATATATTTAGTTTGATCCTGTGAAGAAGTTTTCTCTGTTGCTCTAGTTTAAATATTAAAAACTAGCATTTATTTCAAGAACACTAGTAGAAATGGGTTGGTATCTTATACACCATCAGGTGCAGTGTTGTGCTTTCCTCTTCAGTGAAATACTTGTTTTATTAATTTCAATGTGCATATTTAATCATCCAGAGGCCCTTTTAGGTGTTGTTCTGTTCAGAACACTGAATCTTGTCACTATCTCCTTTTGTTGCAAAGTAGCTTCTGAGGCTTTTTTGTGATCATTTCCACTCTGAGGTGACACTATTGAAGGCTTGTTGTTAGATTGAGCGTGCCTTTCACTAGAGAACTTCTGCAGAAACATAAAGATGGCTACTGACTTTCCATACAGGAGTTCATCCTGTCATTTTAATAGAACAAAGGACGTATTAATGGGCTTGTAAAATAACAAAACCCTGCATATGCTTCATCCCTATAAAACTAGTCACGCAGAGGCTTCATAACTTCAATTCAAGAATATTTAATTTACCCATCTGTTGAGAGTCAGGCCCCGTTCAGGTCTATGTGACGTGTACCCATACAGGTTTAAGGTATTGGGAAGCCACAGTAAAGATCTAGAGGTTAATACCTCATGGTTTTCTTTACCATATGTATATCAGTTTTAAATTACTTGATGGTGAATTTGACCTGCCTTAATTGAGGGTTAAATACTGCCCACTACACACACCTGAGGTATGAAACTTGTTTAAGAACAAAGGTGCTACTTTTGTGTCTCTAAAGGGCAGTATGTTAGCATAACCTCCAGAAAGTGGAGGTTTTGATATTGTTATTAAAAAAACAGCATTAACTTGCTGGTTAAAGACTTTGACAGTAGAAGTTGTCCTTTGTGACTTGTTGAGTAATGCTTGCCTTCAGTTACTCAAATATATTGTGACTGTGTTGTGTGTTTTTTCCTTTTTTTTTTTTTTTTAATAACTAGTACCAAGAAGAGATTCAAGAGCTCAATGAAGTAGCAAGACATCGCCCTCGGTCTACCTTAGTGATGGGTATCCAACAAGAAAACAGACAGATTAGGGAATTGCAGCAAGAAAATAAAGGTAAAACGTGAATCTTCTGTCCTTTTCAAGTTCCAGCTTGCACCACTGGAATCAGTGAGATTTTTACCATTGATCTATTCTCAAAAAATTGTTGCAGAATTTTTTCCTTATGATGTCAATTTGTCAGTTAAACTGATCATAATGCAATCTAATAAACAGTCCTAATGTCCAACCACTGGGACTATGATTAACAAAAAGAGAGTGTTGTGGGAAATTACTTTTTTGGTTCTTATCTGATGTTCAGCATGAGTGAGGAGATAAACAGAACTTAATTCTGCAGTACAGGTGTCTATTTGGAACCATGTTTTCCCACTATGAAAAATAACTAATTTAGGAGTAGTCAGAACAAGTAGTAGTATAAGTGCAGTAGTAGAATTCCAGGAGGAATTCTCTACACTAGGAGATACTGTTCCTCTTGGAACACCTTAGGTATTCTAACAGTTATATTCAGCAAAGGATTCGATGATCTCAGTTCATATGAATCTTATCTCAGGAGTTATTTTGTCCTTTGACTTATTTAGGACATGAGCATTTTTTAACTCTTATATTACCAAGTTGCAGATTAAAACAGATCTTTAGATTTCTTTCTAGCCTTTGTACAGTGCTGTTTGTAGTGGCTAAAGATCCTCAGCTGTACTCAAGCTGACTTATGTCAACTAAAGGGACTGACTATGAAGTCATATTAACAAAAGACCTTCTGTTTGTGACTGAACAAGAATTTCCCCAGGGCAGTCACCACTGGAGGCATTTGGAGAGCCTACAAAGGTTTTAGGGTGCAAAGAGAGGTGACCCTCAATTAAGGGCTTTTGCATTTTGTTTCAATTCTTCTCCGTTTAACTGATTTTAAAATTATGTTGGTAGAATTACGCACATCTCTTGAAGAACATCAGTCTGCTTTGGAACTCATAATGAGCAAGTACAGAGAACAGATGTTTAGGTTGCTTATGGCGAGCAAAAAGGATGATCCAAGTATAATAATGAAGTTAAAAGAGCAACATTCCAAGGTAATAACTTCATTGTTTTTTGCCTTTGTTTTTTTCTAGTTAACAATTAAGTTAGTTTGTAGTGGATCAGTTCAAAGCTTAGTTTGTCTCAATTTTTGTATCATTGTGCCAAGTTCTAATTTTTATAATCCAGTCCATGAAACACAAACAGAAGACTTGATCAGTTGAGTAAGTCAACCATATTAGCTTCTCATTTATTTAAGCTTTTAACAAGTAGCATTTCATTACTGTATCTACTTAATTTACTTTTGTTTTGCTTTGGTCTTTAAGATGACTGCCCTATTTGCTTTCAGATGTCCACAGATCTCAGTATTCAGATATTTGGACTGTTTTGAACTTATTCTTCAAAAAATAATTAATAAACTTGTGCATACTGGGAGAGTAGGAGGGCCAAGGTTTTTAAATTCAATATTCAAATTTTTTTTCCCTAAATACCATAGATTTTAAAAAATGTTTTAAAAGTTCTTTTGAATATTGAATAATATTCCTGCCTCGACTCTTGGTTCATGTTTCAGTACTGATCAGGATCGCTAAGTAGAATCCAGAGCAGCCTGAGATGCTTGAAGGGTGGTGAAAGTTGCTGGGATAGGTGTGCTTCCTCTTAGTTTTTGAAAACTAGAAAAGCAAAATGCCATTAAGCTACATTTTTTTGAAAACTGTCACAAGTGAGGTATATATGAGTGTTTAGCTTCATACAGGATTAACGTATGTTTTCATAGCAGTTTAGGCTTTTTTAATGTATTTTCAGGAAAATTAATTATTCTAGATCTAGATCTAAAATGGAGCTTTCTAACAAAGTATTTTATTATATTTGAAATGAAATGTAATCATCAGAAAGCAGTATAACTGTGTAGACAAACATTAGTTTGAAGTGTTTAATAATCTTTGACCTCAACAAACTAAGTCTGCCAAGCAGAGTTAGGATCTGCATACCTGGAAAACAAGGTTTAAGAATTTGGTGTTTCCTTATCTGTTTACAAAATCACATCTAATTAGTGCCAGTGAAACCAATGGGACTACTTAGATTGGTATGAAAACATGCCCTGTATCTTTAATATAAACTGTATCTTTAATATAAACTGTATCTTTAATATAAACTATTAAAAAATGACAGGTATATACCCTTTTCAAAAGTTACCTTAGCATATAGTATAGCATATCTTACAGCCTCAGGAGTACCAAGACAAGAGGGTAAAATTATATCTGTCTTGAAATGGACTTTGAAATTTCATTTAGAAATACTTCTATAGGTTAAAATCTTGAGGTATTAAAAAAGTAGGAGATCTAGGCTTCAACATCTTGGTTAAATCTGATCACAAAAGAATGCCAAATGAAGAGGATTACCCATAGTCTGACATTTATGTGGAGTTTCATTACTTTTTCTTCTGATCAGCCTTCACATTCAGTAAGATTAAACAATCTTGAAGCAGTTTTTAAATACTGCTTGTTAACTAAAAAAATCCATCACACCTAACCAATTAACCTCACTGTTACCAGTAATTGCTGTTTTCTCAAGTGACAGTTCCTAAACTTTAATGCCTATTTACAAAAGATTATTACAAAAACATGGATTTCTGCAGATCAACAAATCTTTAAATAGAGCAACCTTTAAATAGAAAAACAATTTCTTTTAGCAGACAGATACACAGTAATACGTACGTATGAAAGAGAAAAGTGTGTTGCTAGTAATGACCCTTATCTAAGCGTGCTGTTTGAATTTGCTCAGCTGAAACAAGGTCTAAAAACATCTCTGGCTTTTTTTTCTTTTTCCTCTCTAGAGGAAAAAAAAAACCAACAATGTATGGCAAAAAAAAATATTAATAAAAGAGATACAAGGAGTGTTCACAGTTGTTCGAGGCTATGTTTGTAAAGAAACACTTTCGTTGCATTCTTTGGTATTATGGGATCTAAGCTCTACACATCTGCCTTCTGGAGTAGAATGTTACAGTTTTGTGTTGACATCTGATCTAACATTAGTGACCATGGAACAGGCCCTAAATCATATTGATCAAGAGGCCACATAAGCTGGCAAAATAGGAAGTAGGAAGGACAGCAGCACATCTAAAATCCAGTAACTCCTTGCCAGCCCTTCTCAAGGGTACATCTTTGCCAACTCATTCTCTCTGACCACAGCTTCCTTTCAAGCTAAATTTAGTTTTTCATTGAAAAAAAAAAAGTAACCACCTTCACTGGAAACTGAGAAGAACATAATAAACTTACTCTAAGTTCCACCTCCATACACACCATATCCTCGCCCCTGTGAGTGGGCAGTTAATGAGGTAAATTGCAGCTTTTGAAATTGGAATGGCAGAGAGGAAAGGATGGAAAGGGCTGATGTTCATTCTAGTAAAGTACTTTTTTTTGGTCAGATAAAATTTATGTTTTCAAGAGAGGCAGTTCTTTATGGTAGTTTAATAATTTCTGGTAGTTTAAAGGCAAGCTGATCCTTCTCTGGAAGAGGGGTTGGACAAGATGATCTCTTCCAACCCCTACCATTCTGTGATCATCTGCTAGATGTATGGACTTCCAGTCAAACTTAAAGGTGGGATTTAACTTTAGTCTATATTGTTCTTTGTTTCAGTCCTACTGTTGTGTTTTTCTGCAGTATTAGTAACTGTTGTGAATTTTGTCCAAAGGCCAGGTCAGACATTGATGGGCTGGCATAATAGTAGAGTGGAAATAAAAGATAAGTTGAGGAAAAAACAACAACAAATAAAAACCTCTGGAAATACCATTAAAGTATTTATCTTAGCTGAACAGCAATGAATGCTAAAGGCATAGGATCTTTATCTAGAACTGTAGGTGAGAAGTAGTGACCCTTTAAGCATTTCCTGCTGGTAGGTTGGCCAGGGAGAAAGCAAACCATCACCCAGACTAACAAGGTCCAGGTAAGAGATCACTTCTTTGCCGACAGGGAAGATTATCTAAAATCCAGCTTCCTTGCAAAGGCTGTTATATTGACATTAATGGCTCCTATCATTCCACTCCTGGTACTGGCACAGAACAAGAGCAAAACAAATTACTGCTCTTTTTTGTCTCCCTCCTTGAATCTTTAAGTAAGATGTGGTAGTTTTTTATAATAGGAAAGTGCCCTATGAGCTTAATGAACAGACACAAAGAGGCCAGTCAAAACACAAAAGTTTTGGTTACAGTTTAGCGTGGACACAGACCTCTGAGGTCCTGATCCCAAATAAGCTGGAATTGGATTCAAGCAGAAGTATCTAAAAAAGAGCAAAGGACAGATCCGGATCTGAGTTTCTGAATAAATAACGCAGTAAGGATGCCCACTTCGGCTGGTCTCTGGAGAGATAAATGCCTACCCCTAGGCTAGTACCGGCTATGCCAGACTCGGGATCAGGTTTCAAATCCTTCAAAGGGAGGGAATATCGAGTACCTTGCTGCTCATATTCTGCATATCTAAAAATTAAGTCCATTAGTTTCTGCAACATGGGAAGGTCTTGTCAGATCAAGCCGACGGCAAATGTGTAGCTGTATGGAACATGTAGAAGCTATGGAAGACATTAATTTAAACATAATTTTTTAATAGAAAAGTCTGATAAAAAGGATCACTGTGTGGCAAACTAGGTGTATGTAAATGAACAGGACAGCAGTGGCTGCTCATTCTGTTAAGTTTCAGAGTTTGTTTTCTGAAATTTAGGTCTGTGTTCACACTTTAAGTGGTACAGCAGTTAAAATGCACATTTAATGCTCTGCTTATTTTTAATAATGCAGAAAATAGACTCCTAAAGCTGTCATTGTTTGATTTTTACAAATTAGGAGCTGCAAGTGCATGTGGACCAAATTACAGAAATGGCAGCAGTAATGAGAAAAGCCATTGAAATTGATGAAAAGCATGGCTGTAAAGAGCAAGAACGTATCATTCAGCTTGAGGTAAGTAGGACATCAAACCAGCAATGGCACAAATAGCAAGGCAATGAATGTTATCACAGTTATTTATATTAAGTATCTCTTGTGGGTTACTGTATCAGTCACTCACACTGCTATTTTGTTCCACTTTCCTTGTTGGAGGACTGTAAGTACTATTTTCTCCACTACAGCTTACCCTCAAGTCTTACACAGGGGATACTTTGTCATCACAGATAAGTGGTTTGTATTTGTGTACTGGCTTAAGCTTTCTCTTTTTTTGAAGTCCCTGTGAACGTAGCAAAAAGCTAGGAAATTATACAAATTCATCCTAATAAGACACTAGGATGCAAATAGTAATACACACACCTTTGGCTTTTAAATATTAATTTTTTTTATATAGATTATAATAATTCTGTGCCTTTGAGGGGATTCTCAGTTGTTTATCACTGGAAAATCAACACCATTACTCTTTGATTAGGTGCCAGCATGCAGTTCATTATGGGACAAAGTGTGTGGAAAGAACAGGACATTTATTTTGAACTGCAACATTTGAATTTAATTACCCTTTTCTTACCTGTCTTTATGTTTTCAGCTTTTTTTTTAATGCTTAATGCCCATTCAAGAAAGCAAGAGTATCAGAAACCTGATGGTTTTAGTTTTAGGTGATAACATAGCACTACCTGACTGCAAATCAGTATTTTAATCCTTATACAGTATGTTTGGCATACAGCAGAGGAGAAGTTATTAATGTAGTTATCTTGACTTCTTTCTGGAGTTCTGTTACGTGCTTTTTTCTTTCTCCGGTTATAGCAAGAAAACAAAGGATTGAGAGAAATCCTTCAGATAACTAGAGAATCTTTTCTGAACCTCAAGAAAGAAGATGCATCAGAGAGCACATCTCTGTCGGGATTAGTAACAAGCAGTGATTTGAGCCTGAGAAAAAGCTAAAGACTATGGAAGTCAACAAGCTTCAATTGCACACTTTACAGTTATCAGGGGTCACTTGTCAAGCACTTGTTACTGAATAGGGCACCAGCAAACAAAGGCATCTTAAACTCCAGTTTAGTGGCTTTTATACTATTTAAAATAAAAGCAGTATTCTACAAAAACCTTAGTGACAGATTAATTGCCATGGATCTAACTTCAGTAGGAAATGGATTAATGCGCTTATGAATTGGGAATTATTTTTATATGAATTCATTTTACACATAAAGGACAAGATTTCACATAATTTATATATGTTATTGCTCATACAAAGTTTTTGGTAAACCTATTATATAATAAAGGTAAGATCTAAAGTCTGCCAAATACGTAGTAACTTATCAGTATGCTTTGTGTGTGATCCTCATTTTTTTTCCTTTAAGTTTTTTAATAAATTCTCATTTTGCAACAAACCTGTTTAATGAAAAGGGTACATAAGCAGCATGAAATGGAAGGATTTCTGCTTTTTCACCACCGGGTATTCTGTTCAAGTACAAAGCCAATTGTTTAAACACATAAGCAATGCTTTTGCAGTTGCGCGATATTTGTTGGTTGTTTTATCTTTTTTTTTTTAATTCAACAAGATTCTTTACAATATGTATACTTGTGTTTTTCAAAATATGAGAAGAGCTTCTCCTGCTTTTTTGCTTTCTGGAACACAGGTAACTTAATTCTGCCTTAGTTTTTACTTTTATGAGAAAAAAACCCAAACAGGTTCAGTTCTCTATAGATAAGCCACCGCATTAGCCCCATCTATTTCCAATTATTTGCCCGAACTTCACAACTGGTAAATGGCACTTTGAAAGTACCCAAACAGCAGCAACACCAAGGCAGTTGGGGGAAGGAGGAAGAAGCTCTGTAGCAAAGCTGGCAGCCTGCATGCTTGCAATCAACACTCTTGACTTTTTTTCTTTCTTGGGCACTAGTGATTGGAAAGGTTTTTAGGTAAGTTTCAGGTATGTTTGCACTAGGAAAAGTTTTAATATACTACGGTGCCAAACGGAGTGCTCGCTTTTAATCCTCAAATACTTGCAGAAGTGAAAAGGAATTGGCTTTCCTAGCTCAGAGCACAGCTTATATTGTACACAGATAGGACAGGAGTGCTACACACAACAGACTTGTAGTAAAGAGGTGCCAAAATAATTCGTATGTGGCTTTTTGTCAGACTACTGCTTCTCTGTCAAGGCAACAAGAACACTCTTAGTACTGATCACCTGTACCATCACTTTTTGTCCAGCCTGTTACCATAATCTTAATTTGAAAAGCACACTCAAAAGAAGAATAGTGAAAGCTTTCAGCCACAGAAAACTAAATCTACAACTGCCACCCACAGTTGAATGTTTTGACTGTTTAATAATTTACCAAGCAAAATGAGTTGAACTTCTCCTCTGAAATCAACTATGAATCAATTTTGATTTTAAGTTACAAAAGAATTAAGCATAAAGCACTTTTAAGTGTGTCAATTTTAAATACAGCTTCCATTGCGTCAGTATAGCTTTGCCAAGCTCAAAGGTTATCGCACCACAGGTCTAAGGGTGATCTTTCAGTGTCCAGTGAACTAATTTATAGGAAACTTAATATTTTTGTTCTGTTGTTGTCAGTTGCTGCCCTCCTTCCTGTAATGCTTTTAAAAGAAAAAAAAAAAAAGTGATGGAAAAGGAAAGTTTAGCAGAGACAATAAATGCTAGTTTTCAATTAACTAATGCAAATGCTAGGAAATGCCATTGAGAGGACAAATAAATTGAGCTCTCCAAATTTTCACAGCCTTTTTAGAAGTGAAGAAATTGCTACATCCTCTTTCCAGAAAATCTTAGCTTGTTTCTACGCTTAAGAATACATTGAGGACTTTTGCATGCGTGAAAAAAAATGTTCTAACCATTTCCCACCTTGATAAACACCTGGGGGGAACTTTTTGGGGAACATTTTATCTCAAGTACAAAATCTGCGTGTCTGCTATTCTTATCTGTAAAACCTTGCCATTGCTTTTATAATTCAGGTTTTGCATTTCTACTGTAGCTTGCAAGCTGGTGACTTATCAGAAGCAACATGTTTGGGTTTGGGGTTTTTTGGTGTTTTTTTTTGGTTTTGTTTTTCAATTGACTGGTTTGTTGTTGCAAACTTATGAGAAATTTTGGCTTTGTCAAGTTATCTTTTTAGAAGCATCTTCGCAGCCATTGACTGGTGTCAGAGGCATTTCTATCCAGGTAGATGCTGACTGCAGTTTGTTTTTCAAATACAATCTCCACTGTTGTACAGCAGAGAAGGGTTGTTAGGCTGTGGCAGTTCTTTAAGGTTGCTCTATTATGAAATAATGCTTGATTAGTGTTTATTTTTGTAAATTAAAAAAAAATGTGACTTAATTTATCTACTCCTAGTCTTCACATTTGATATGTCTCCCCTTTCATTTCCCCTGACCTGATCACTTTAGGATTTTAAAAAGAACCTTCACAGTCCGTGGAGTGACTATTTTTCATTGCATACCTGTTATTTTTGTAATGCAGATGGCTTGAAAAGAATTTATGGCTAGAGTTGTGTACTGTACAGTAAACTTATTTTATCAATAAAGTTGACTGAAAATATGGATGTCTTCATGATTAAAGCAAGGTACTGAATCTGAAATGAGCCTTGTTAGTAACATGCAAGAAAAAGACATTTTGCCATTTACTCAGCTTATTTTTATTATTTCAGGCAGGCAGGCCAATGTTGCTATATAGTACAAGTAAAAAATACCTCTGTGAAGTCCTCCTCTTCTCTTGGAAACTAACAGTCACCTGTACACAAGCAGTTACTCATCTTCCCAGTGAACCACTGGACTGTTTACTGATAGAGAGGAACAGTAAGGATAAGCAAAAAGCAGTCCACTAGGCTTTGATTTCTGTATCACAACATATTTTGGTACAGATAGGATGATAGTTGTAGGTTTTTCTGAAGATTAAAAAAAAGTCACTTTGACTTGTTTCAAGCTCTGTGTAAATGAGAATGTCAGTGGATTACATTTGTAAACTGGCAATGCAGTGTTTTCTCCACTTCCCTGTAATTTCTCATAAGAGAAACTTGTTTTCAGTATCATAAATCTTGTGTTTAAAGACAGCTAAAAACATCAAGCCAAGTCCTAAATACACATAACAGCTACTCAACTGAGGTAAAGCTGAAGGGCACCTTGAAATTAAGTTCGGCAGTTTTTGTACAACTAAGCTTTAAATAACTTTGGCTTTTTAACGAACACATTGGATTAGAAAATTATGTTGAAATACAGAACTAATGGCACTGGTTTTATGCAGAATTACATTTACTACGACCTCTTTTGTAAATACACAAAAGAAGATTGACATCAGCTCAGGATTTTTTGCTGTTTAGTTTGTAAGCATTAAGCTTTAAAAGCACTTTTGCCAATTAAAATATTTTCTCAATCTCCTATTGAATGTAAAATGTGCACTTGTTCTTTCTGGAGATGGTCACATCTGAGTGTCTGGAGCATCTCAGGACGGCAGGTGGTTAAATCAGCTAACATCAGGGCTGGTCAAAGTATCACAGGCTGGCTGCAGGGACAGCGGGAAGATGGGACAGGTGAGCAAAAGAAACCTTAAGTTGGAAATGAAGGCAGGTGATAAAGGAGTAAGTTTCAACATCAGACAACATGTTCACCAGCCTTTTCAACATCATGCTGTTGATAACACTGGAAGTTCTGGAAGCAGCATCAAGGTACACACTGCCAACAGAGACCAAAAAAAGGGAGAAAAAGAAAGAAGACTCAGTGGGAACACCGTTCAGCTGGAGGTGTCCAATAGCTGTCTGCATGGTTGTCAAAGGCATTGTCTCAGGGGGATTCCATTTAACCTGGTGTGCAAACAAAACTATCCCCCTCTTGTCCTAGAGGGGTCTGTACACTCTCCAGTATGTAACCTCAAACTAGCACCAGCAAACAAATGCCCGTTGTTACTGTTTAAAAAGCAGAAGCATAGATTCTGTATGTCAGCAGTTGACCTCTTGCTAAACTTACCTTTCCGGAACACCAAGGTGTGCTGGGAGAACCACGTGCAGCATGCAGCTGTTTATCACATCTGCATACCAGGTAAAGGTGTCAGTCACACTCAGCCTCACCTTTCCCCCATTCCACTTTTCATTTGCAACACAGTCAAGTTTCATATGAGGACACTAGAGCAGGCTAATTGAAACCAAATTGCTTACCGTCCACATAACAAGATGTGCTGCAAAGTAAAACATTCAGTGAACGTGTTCCTGCTGCCTGCAACCACCTCCCTTCCCCAGACATGTCCTGATGCAGCAGCGCACCTGTTGGGAGCCACTGTGGCCACACCTTTGTGTCAGAGAACATCACTATTTCCAAAGTTCAGAAAAATCTCACCTGACATCTAGAAGAAAACCTTAAGCAACTGCTCAACATGGAAGGAAACATTTAATAATTCCAGTCTTGGAAAAAATTCACGCTCGCGACGCTCCGCAGACACAAACTAAAGAACAGGAGCACATGGGAAACAAGCAGAACTCCAACTGTAGTGCCTTTTTGTTAACCTAAGGTCAAGTTTTACCTCTTTTAAAGAATGGCAGAATGAATAATTTCCCTACTTCAATTTCTCACCACTAAAATATCTTAAGAAATACATTTAAGAATGGCTATTTAAGCTGTGAAAAGCATTAGATACGTTTTTCAAAACTCAGTTGTTAGAAGCTCGAACACACTAATGGGTGCAGGGCAATCAGTGTCTTTGGTTTTCCAATATTATGCTCAGGAACATAGTAAACAATTTTTAAATGAATCATCACATGCAACTCATTAAATTACTGGCTAGGCAAAGAGTATCTGCCTCCTACGATATACTCTATGTGTGCTTCTTTGCTTCTTGCGTGTGGCTTTCTTCCCCAGAGCACCGATTTAAAAAAAAAAAAAATAAATAAAATCCAGCTCACTTTCAGCACATTAGATAACCTGTTTTTACACCAGAAGGCAGTAGGGATAGTGTGAAAAATTGCAACAGGTGCTTTTTCTGACAAGGCAGACTTTTGAAAACCCAAGTTCTGAAGCAGGTTGCACACAACCATTTTTCCTGCCACTCCCTCTCACCCACAAAATTAACTATTTTATTGCTCTGTTTCAAGTTGTCTTCCCCTAGCACACATGAAAGTATAAAGCCTTGTATATGCAAAACAGGTACAGCTGTCTGCCTAGAGCTACATGCTAGCAGACAAGGTTGGCTATCATTTAAAAATATAATATGACAAGCATCTGTTTGAAGAAACAAAAATATTATTGGA